GGGAAGGATCCAGGGAATCCTTGGAGCCGCTTCCCGATCCCCAAGGGGCTCCGGGAGAGCTGGAATTTGGGGAAGGGCTGGAGGGGCAGGAGCCAGGGAATGGAATTCCCAGTGGGAAAGGGGAGCTTGGGATTGTGGGATCTTGGGCAGGAATTCCTGGCTGGGCTGGAATTCCCAGAGAATCCCTGGGAGTGTCCAAGGGTGGGTTTGGATCACCCTGGGATCGTGGGAAGTGTCCCTGGGATGGGATTGGAGGTCCATGGATCCCATCCCAAACCATCCTGGGATTCTGGGATCAAGGACACTCAGGATCCATCCTGAGGGATTTTTATGGAATTTGGGGATGGAAAACGAAGGGAGGCCTTTCTTGGAGTCCCAAATTCCCAGTGAAGCTCCTAGATCCCAAAATTCCTTCTCCAGGAGGAATCGGGATGGGGATGGATCCAATGCCAGGCTGGGAGAGCTGGGAATGTTCCCCTGGATCGGGGAAAGATCCAGGGAATCCTTGGAGCCTTTTCCAGAGGGAAAGGAGAGCTGGAATTTGGGGAAGGGCTGGAGGGGCAGGAGCCAGGGAATGGAATTCCCAGTGGGAAAGGGGAGCTTGGGATTTTGGGATCTGGGGAAGGAATTCCCGGCTGGGCTGGAATTCCCAGACAATCCCTGGGAACATCCAAGGAACGGTGGGATCACCCTGGGAATGGTGGGGTTGGAATCAGATGATCCTTCCCACCCAATCCACGATCATTCCGCGTCCGGCCGTTTCCCTGCGGATTCCCGCTGGATTCCCGCTGGATTCCCGCTGGATTCCCGCTGGATTCCCGCTGATCCCGGCCTCCCTTTCCCTCGTTTTTCCAGGCGCTGACGGCCAAGGAGGAGCAGTACGAGCAGGCCCTGCAGGAGCAGGCGGGTGACATCCGCCTTCTCCTGGAAAGGATGGAAGAACAAACCAGGAACGTGCTCAAAACCTACCGGCACCACCTCCGGCACATCGAGGTACCCAATTCCCGGGAAAACCGGGAAAACCGGGAAGGAAAAGCGGGAAAAACCGCTTTGCTCCTCCAAATCTTTTGTGGGAAAAAAAACCCCATTTGGAATGGCGGTGCTGGGGTGAAATCCGGGCGGGTGAAGCCGGAATCCGGAGCTCTGAGGGGTTGGGAATGAGTTTGGGAACGACCCGGAAGCGTCGCCGTTCGGTTTTTCCCATTCCCGGAGATCCCGGCATGGAATTTCCGTCTCTTCCGCAGAAAACGTTGGAGGAGGAGGGTCGGGAAATGTTGGCCAGCAACCGGAAAAGATGGAACGAGGCCATCCGGGCCCACAACGAGCAGCAGGTGAATCCCCTGGGAGATCTTTTTTTTGGGGAGAAAATTCCCATTTTCCCATGGGAATCGCTGAGGGTGGAAAAACCCTCCGGGATCACCGAGTCCAACCATTCCCAGAGCGGATCCACGCCCCCAAACAGGGCCAAATCCACATGGATTTCAATCCCAGCGGGAATGGGGACTCCACCCTGCTCTGGGTGGAGTCTTCCAGGTGGGAATTGTTCCCAAGATCCAACCAAACCTTCCCCTGGAAGTTTCCCTCTTATCCTGCGGGAGTAGAGGCCGATCCCACCTGGCTTCAGCTTTTCCGGGAATTCCGGAAAGTTCCCTCTGGAGCCGCCTTTTCTCCAAGCTCCCTCAGCTGCTCCCGGGGCTCCAGCCCCATTCCCAATCCGTTCCTTTTCCCTGGACACGCTCCAGGTCCCGCTTGGAATGCCGGGATGGGCTCTGCCCTGGAAGGCACCGTGGAGGAGCCGGAATTTTTTGGGATTGGGGTGGGAACAGGCTGGGATCGGGATAGAGGGGGTGGGGTGGGGTGGGATGAGGTTGGGATGGAGTTGGAGGAGGTGGGATGGGGTGGAATGGGGTTGGATGAGGTTGGATGAGGTTGGGATGGAGTTGGAGGAGGTGGGATGGGGTGGAATGGGGTTGGATGAGGTTGGAGGAGGTTGGGATGGAGTTGGAGGAGGTGGGATGACTTTGGATGAGATTGGATGAGGTTGGGATGGAGTTGGAGGAGGTGGGATGGGGTTGGATGAGGTTGGATGAGGTTGGGATGGAGTTGGAGGAGGTGGGATGACTTTGGATGAGGTTGGGATGGAGTTGGAGGAGGTGGGATGAGGTTGGATGAGGTTGGAGGAGGTTGGGATGGAGTTGGATGAGGTTGGAGGACGTTGGATGAAGTTGGATGAGGTGGGATGAGATTGGAGGAGGTTGAACGAGGTGGGATGATGTTGGATGAGAATGGATGAGGTGGGATGAGGTTGGAGGACTTTGGATGAGGTTATAGGACTTTGGATGGGGTTGGATGAGGTGGGATGAGGTGGGAGGAGGTTGGAGGAGGTTAGAGGAGGTTGGGATGGAGTTGGATGAGGTGGGATGGGGTTGGATGAGGATGGATGAGGTGGGATGAGGTTGGAGGAGGTGGGATGAGGTTGGAGGACATTGGATGAGGTTGGAGAACTTTGGATGAGGTTGGAGGAGGTGGGATGAGGTTGGATGAGGTTGGAGGACACTGGATG